AAAAAAGGCCAGGTGGTGGATCTCTGTGAGTCCGAGGCCAGCCTGGTCTACAAAGCGAGTTCCAGGACAGGCTCCAAAACTATACAGAGAAACCCTGTCTCGAAAAAAAACAGAAAAAAAAAAAAGAGAGAGAGAGAACTAATCTCTTCAAGTTGTCATCTGACCTCTTCTGACCTCTTCATGAATGTTGTGGCATGCCTCCCCCTTACAAATAAATAAATAAAGGAAAAACGTAATGTAAAAGGCCACATTCACTGCGACACCAAGGAAAGCTAGGCAGGGACCCAGCAGCCTTTGCCAATTCTTAGTACAGTACTCCCTAACACAGGCACCTTCGTGTGGGCTTCAGAAAAGAACCCATCACATCTTACCGGAGTGTCTCACCTGCAATCTCAGCTGTCTGGCCTGCCACCCCTGAGACTTCAGTGCTGCCAAGGACGGGCGCGGGGACAGTTAGCTGGGGACTGCATGGACGAGAGGTTTCTTGGGGTTGAGCTAAGGCAGGCTTGGGCAGAGGTGGAGGGGTAGAAACAGCAGGTGGACTCTGGAGCAGATCCTCAGGGGGAGGTACAGGCACAGCCACAGGGGGTGAACTCCATGCCTCCTTGTTCACGAGCAGCACCTCGATGGGACCACTCATGCTCTTCAAGTGAATCTGGTACTTCTTCTGACCATTGAGACCCTGGAGGGGGTGCAAAGTAGAATTGAGAGCAGGCAAGGCTCCCGCCTGACTCTGGGTGAGAGCCAGACTGTCATCCCACTCCTCGGCTGCCAGTCCACCCAGATAACCCCAAACTCCAGGCCTCCCCCTACCTACCCCACCCAGAACTTATCAAGCTCCACAGCCAGTATCCGCCCTCGGTTGACACCGCCTTTCAGGGATGAGCACCTACCTCTGGGATGGGCACCTCTAGGCTGGTGCCCGATGGGGCCCGGATGGCAAGGAGGGTGTCTCCTGGAATGACAGGGAGAATGCGTCAGGGCCTGTGAGCTCATTCTGGGCTAGGACAGGAAGGGTCTGTTCACTGGAGCAGGACAAGACCACAGTCTCTAAGAGACTGAATAGTAAGCCTCTACCATCCCAGAGTGCTAGGTAGAGCTAAAACTCTTTTCTCCCCAAAAACTTACACTCAGTAACCAGAAAATCTAGTACAAACACACTTTTTTTCTTCCTTTTGAGTCTTTTTTGCTTGTTTTTTCAAGACAGAGTTTCTTTGTGTAACAGCTCTGGCTGTCCAGGAACTTGCAGTGTATCCCAGGCTGACTTCAGACTCAGACATCTCCCTTCCCCTGCCTCCCAAGTGCTAGGATTAAGGTATAATCACATTCTGGAGTGAGGTCACTGGCCTCGGGTAGCACCTCACTCCTCAAATGACACTGATCCCTAGAAACAGATCTAAGTTTTCCCAAGACCAAGATACAAGATGGAATAGAAGGAACAGTTCCTACATACACTAACTACAGATTAGAAATGGACACCACTGACCCCACCCCACCCTTGGAATACAAGTGTGAAAGACTGTGCACAAACATACACATTCTCCCTTTTCCTCTATCACATCTAAGAACCAAACCCAGGGACACACTGGGACCCTTGTACCCTCAGTATTGTTGGTCTCTACAGAGTTCCAGTGACTTTTACACTGAGACTCTGCCTGGTTTCTCTTTAAGCGGGCATCAGGAGCCCTCTTAGGAGATGGAACTCCTCCTTGAGCACTGAACCTGATGCTCAGGTCTCTGTAGCTTAGCTCAGTCCCACCTCCATCTCCCCCTCCCCAGGCTCTGCTCACCAGCAAAGCATCTGCAGATGTCTTCATGAGTCACGTAGGCCAAGGTGTGAGGGTTAAGGAGAACAGCTGATGCTTTTCTTATTGTGCCAGATGGCAGACCACAGAAGACCCAGTGTTTTAGCAGATGTCTGACACACAAGCCCTCAGAAGCTGTTCTGGAACCTGGGGTCCAAGTGGGTAAGGATCATGGGCTAAGATTGGAAGAGAAGGGAGCCTCAAGTCTGAATCTGACCAGGGGCTGCAGGATCATTCTCCCAAGAGGGACAGGGCCCAAAGCTCCATAGAGCAAAACCAGCTGAGGACTCTTGCCCACTCCCCAGAGCAGGGACCGCCAGAGGATATCAGCTGTTCTGGACGTCCTCTGTGACATTCCGGATGCTCTGTTGCACCCACACCTTGTGCTGGTCAAGTTCTTGCTCTCGCTGCTGCAGCTCCTCGATCTCTGCCTTGAGTTCAATCAGCTTGTCGGCAATTTCCCGGGTATTGCAACCTGGCCCCACACCCCTGAACCGGAGGAATGAGAGACTGAGAGGGACTGCTGAGAACTCTGGGTCCCATACCTCTGCTCTCCCCTACAACCATCACCCCACACCCCACACTTCTGCCCTCTCTAACGCCCATCCCTACTCACTTCCACTGGATGCTGTTCTTGGATTTTTTCTCGATCAGACCAATACCTTCCAACACGTTGGTGATGTCGTAAATCCGCCGCTTCTGGCGCACAGCTAGAGTGTCGGCTGCCTGGTAAGTGCAAGAGAATGGAGAATGCTAGTCCCACCCTTAAGTGAGTACCCCGATACCTTTAGTCTGGAATGGGGGTAGTCTTGCGTCCCTCCCCTGGAGTTCCTTCCAGCCACTCCAGCAGCGTGTGGGGAAACGTCCTGGCTTAGTCGAGTTCTGCTATTCTGATGCTCGTTTCCCTGGGCTGGCCACGGAGGGCCACGAGGGCCAGCACCTGCAGCCCCGACTGAGAGCTGACGCTCCATGGCCGGCGTGAATGAAAAGAGCCTCCCGCCTCTCCCGGGTGGAGAAGCACACGGATGGCGGCCGGCTGTTGGGGGACCTGGCGGGGCAGCCCCCGTGGTTCCCGCTACTGGTCCAGGCCTGGGCCAGCATCTCCCCTGCCGCCCCCTCCGCCCGGGCCGCACCAGCTTGAGGTCAAGCACGCCGTCCTTGGCTTCCTGCAGAAGCGACACGAACTTGGTGGTGAGAAGTCCCAGACTCTTCTCGTGCCTGCTTGGAGTACCCGGGGGCGGTGGCGCCTGTGGCCCGGCCTCCGCCATCGCGCCCGCCCGCCCGCCCGCCTCCCCTCAGCCAGGCCAGGCCAGGCCGGCGGCGGCGCCACTTCCGCTTCCGTTCATAGTCGCCGGGCCACCGGAGCTATCACCGCTGCTTCCGCTTCCGTCTCGCGCCCTCCCAGGGTATCTGGTGCAATTCCTGTCTGCAGATCTGAACGTAAAACTTCGGGGACCGTCAGCAAATGCACCATTAGCAAAGAAGACGAAAGCAACCCCTAGGACAGCTAGTAGACTTGACAAATTGTATAGAAGGAAGTGGGGGTGGGGGAATGTCAGTGAGCAGTCCCGGCAGCAGAGAAGAGGGAACCACCCAAATCTTCCTTGCTAACTGGCCTCCAAACTACTAGCTGCCCAGCCCCCCATCCCCCCAATCTAGGGAAGGGAAGCTATACCACCTGATAAACTTAGCCTGTTAACTTACAACTGCTCCTGAAGCTTCCTTGCTGTTTTGAGACCGTCCTTGCCTTCTTGGCTTCTTGCCAGACTAGCAAGCACTAACTATATCTAGCTTGCCCACTTCTTCCATCTCCGAGACTCCTCTTTAGTTCCAGCATCGTTTTCCTCTGGCCTCCAGGCCACATACGGTTCACAGAGGCCAGAGTCTCATTTATAACCACTTCTCAGTCCATGCACACATATGCGTGATTATAAGCAAAGCCTTTAAGGCAGTTCTTGACATATAGAAAGGACTGTGTGTTTGTAAGTCTCGTTTATTTTTTAAAGGTTTTTATTTTATTTTTATTACTTGTATATGTGTAGGTTTGTGCACAGTGTGCAGGTGCTCAGGGAGGTTTAGAAGAGGGTGTCAGATCTCCAGGAGCTGGAGTTAACAGGCAATGTGAGCTGCCATATAGGTGCTGAGAACTGAACCCGGTCCTCTGCAAGAGCAGCCAGGGCACTTAACTTCTGAGCCATCTTGCCAGCTGACAAGTCTTTTTTTTTTCTCCCCCCCGCCCCCCACCTTCCCACCTCGGAGCTGAGGACCGAACCCAGGGCTTTGAGCTTGCTAGGCAAGCTCTACCACCAAACTAAATCCCCAGCCACAAGTCTTATTTTTAACATTGTTATCACTTGTTACCAGTTTATTTTGGTCAGTTCCTCTAGGAAACAAACTGCCTTCAGCAAGCCTATTGAGGATTCATACTTGTAAGAGAGTAAAACAAGCAGAATTCACAAAACCTACTTATAGTAGAGCCCACAGTGCTAGCTCTGAAATTGGGGCAGTCTTTCTGAGGTATTCATGTTTAGCAAGGACTTGGGCCTTTGTACATCAAAACTGACTCAGAGCTTTAGCTGCAAGCCCCCATCAGCCTACCCTTCTGGCAGCCAGGTCTCTATCCCGATGGATGGATTGGCCTGGTGCCCCAAGTGGTGGCTACATTATTATCATCCAATGTCCTCCTTGGCTCCCTATCAGTTTTAGGAACAAAATAACTTTTATGATTCCTAACTGCCATCTCCCACTACACACTCTCCTCACCACAGGTGCTCTTTCCTCTACAGAGGTTCATATCCTTTTCTGTGTGTGTGGGGGGAGGGGGGAGGTAGGGGGCGGGAGGGGCCCATCAGTAGCTATACTGTCATGTTTACAGCCACATCAACACATGAGAGGGTCATCCTTCAAACCAGCTTGAGGCCAAATCAGCTGCATATGTGCATAAGTGCATGTGTGTTTCCTGAGCACTTACAAGTCCTAGGTGGGCTCCTCAAGACTTGATGATCCCAGGGAGTTGACGCCTGCCCCTACCCCACAGGAAGTGGCGCCCAGCTCTCCCCACCTCAGTGCAGATGCTTTTCCTGTTGGGAATAAAGTGCCAGAGACTCAACTTCCTTCCTTTCTGCCTTGGAAAGGGAGGGGCCTTGGGGAGAAGAAGGGGCGTCTGGGCTGGGAAGTGGGAGAGAGGCTTCCTTGGGGAGAGGAATTTGGCTGCGGGTGACAGAGGAGCTGGAGTCACTTTGGTCCCGTGAGCAGTGAGAGTGTGCCCAGCTCTGCAGGAGAGAGAAGGCCATTCTCAAGGCCAAGGCCGTTTGCAGAGGAGGGAGAACTGGATACCGGTCAGATCTGGTAAGTTCTGTACCAAGTTTCCTGGGCGTTACGGAGAAGAAAAGGGACTTGCAGCTAGCACGTTAGGCCTATTTGCATGCTCTCACACTTGGCATCTGCAGAGGCACAATCCAGAACCGCAGAGAGAGCCAAGGCCTCCCAGGTATCTCCCCCTCTATCATACCTCCCTCTCCCCTATTTCCTTAGCGGGCTAGGCAAGGAGCTCGCTCTTCTTTCTCAGAGGGGCCAAAGGAATAGCCAGCCTGCCTGGGCTACTCCAGGCTCTCACCTCCACTCCTACCACATCTCCAGCTCCCCAAGGCACACCATGGACTCAGCAGCCAAGGACAGAATCCAGCCCACACTTCTTCCTGGTATGAGCCTTGCTAGCTTGGCTGGGGGTAGGGGATGATGGCAAGAAAAATGGACAGAGTGGGGCTAGGTTTTCCTGCTAGGTCTGGCTAGAACTCGACAGGATAGCAAAGGGTGGGCTGTCCGGGCGATTGGCCGAGGAAACAGCCGGGCAGCAGGTTTGTTAGCTGGAGGTCCTCCCCGACTGGCACAAACTGCCCAGGCTCTTCCTGTCCAGGGCCCGAGTGGCCAGAGCAGGAGAGGGCAGAACAGCTGGCTCGGGGTGCGGCGCTCAAGTGGGCCTCGGGCATCTTCTACCGGCCAGAGCAGCTGGCCCGGCTGGGCCAGTACCGCAGCCACGAAGTGCAGCGGACCCGTTTCCTGGAAGCACGGATTAAGGTGGGTACAGGACCGGGGAGAGGAGTGTTGGAATGGACTGCAGGGCTGGCCAGGCCTGACAAGCGAACTCTCTCCACAGTCGGTGGTGCAGTCGTACCTGGAAGGTGTACAGACTGGTGTGTGGCAACTGGCTCGAGCCCTTGAGGCTGTGCAGGGAACCCGTGAAGCGCTGAGCCAGGCCCATCACCTACTCCAGGGGTTGTCTCAGACCTCACAGACCCTGGCGCCCCTGAGGGAACGTGTTGTCCAGCACAAGCAACTCCAGGTCCTGACTCAGTTGCTGCCAAGACTACAAGCCGGTGAGTATGGAGGACCTGGCTCAGTTTCTTAAAGTCCACAAACACCCCAACTGATCAGCAGCTGGGACACTCGGGAAGTGATTACATGGAGAGGTGCACCAGGGACATCCCAGAGAGTAACCTCAGCCTCAAACGGTCTAAGAAATAGGGTGCATAACCAGCTCATTCTGGGGTTCTCAAGCTTGGGATGTTAGAGTCAACATGGACATTGAAAGGGCTTTGGATGTAGTTCAGTGGTAGAACATGTGCTTAGTATGTTCAGGACCCTAAATTCAATCCCAAGCACCCCCCCAAAATTACACATGTATCTATACAAATTCAATAATACCTGCATCCATATGTATGCATCAATGTAAATGCATATAAATACAAGTATATATGTAGCTATGTTTGTAAATATTTCCCTAACAAGATGGGTGAATAGCAGCCAGCATGGTCTCTCATTTATTTTGACTGCTCTCTAACATTCTTTTTTAAACGATTTTTTATTTTTAGTGTATGTTTGAGAGCCTGAATGTATGTATGTATGTGTACCACATGAGTGCCTGGTACATGCAGGGGTCAAAAGAAGACTTAAATCCCCTGGAACTGGAGTTAGAGGCTGTTGTGAGAGGCCACATGGGTGCTGGGAGTCAAACCCAGGTCCTGTGCAAAAGATCAACAAGTGCTCATAACCACTGAGCCATCTCTCCAGCCTCCCATCCACCTCCCTAGCATTCTTGATTTCATGTTCTATTGGCTCAGGGATTGACATGTGGCCCAACTCTAGGCCTGAGCCTAAATGTTCAGATTAATCAATGCTCTACTGTGCGTATTACTAAATATTTGATACCCCGCCCCAGTCTCAGGACCTCAGTATCCCTTAGCACAGGTGGGAAGACTGAGACCTCAAGCCACCTCCTTTCTTCACTAGTGCCAGCTGCAATGGCCCACACACAGACCCTGATTGATGCTCAGCGATTCTTGGAGGCGTATGTGAGCCTACGGGAGCTAGAGCAGCTGCAAGAGGAGACCTGGGCACCCCTAGGAGGGCTGGAGTTGCCCATCTTCCAGGGGCTGGGCCTTCTGGCTGAGGCCTTGGGCCGAGCAGTGGAGGCAGCTGCAGGGGCTGCGGGGCGGCTAGCACGTGAGGATCCAGCCCTGCTGGTAGCTGCTGTTCGCGTGGCAGAGGTGGAGACTGAGCGTACCATCCTGGGGCAGGCCCCGCGAGACTGGCGACAGCGATGTCTTCGGGCACTGCAGGAGGGCCTGGAGCGGATCCATTTCTCATCGCCGCCAGTGCTGCCCGAACCCGGGGCCCTAGCAGGGTGGCTTGAGGCTCTGCAGGTAGCTCTGCCTGCCGAGTTGGCAACAGCTGAGGCACTAGTAGCACCCTGCTGCCCACCACACTACAATGTGGTGCAGCTTTGGGCCCACACCCTGCACAGTGGCCTGCGCCGCAGCGTGCAGCAGCTCCTCTCGGGGCCTGAGCTGGGAGCTGCGGACGCCTTCGCCTTGCTGCACTGGGCATTGCACGTGTACATGGGGTGAGTGTTCTTGGGGAAGTGGCAAGTGGGGGAGATTAGAGGCTCAGCGTGACGTCCTGCCCTCCGTCTCTAGGAAAGAAATGATGGGGAACTTGGAGCTAGGGCCCGAGGCTGATGTGTCCCAGCTAGCGCCCCTCCTGACCCCGGAGAACATCGAGCAACTGGAGGCAGCATTTGTGGCCCAAGTCCAGGTGACTAGTTCGGGCAGAGAACTGAGGTGCTGTGCCATCGCTGTGCCCGTTGTCTAGTTGAATGTCTTGTCAATGCCCTGGCAAGTCTTGCTCCTTGTCCTTTCTTCCAAGGTGAGTGTGGCTCAGTGGCTGCAGAAGGCACTAGATGGGGAGGTAGCTGAGTGGAGCAAGGAACAGGAGCCCAACACAGACCCGTCGGGCTTCTACCACTCACCAATGCCAGCCATTGTCCTGCAGGTGGGTGGGAAGTACCCAAGGCAAGCAGCAGCTCCCACCAGGAAAGGGAGGTGGGCAGCTCTAGGGAATTTCTAAAGGCTGCCCCTCCCTGCCTGTAGATCCTGGCTGAGAACATTCAAGTGACCAGCCTGATCAGTGACTCACTGCATCGGCGGGTGCATGACATGGCACTGTCAGAACTGGCCGCATTCTTGAGGAGGTTTGCCAAGCGGGGACTCATTCACAATCCCTGACAGCCAGAGGGCTCTGCGTGAATAGGGGCACCCCTCACCAGTGGGCGAGGGCTCCTTTAAACAAGGGCTTGGACGTGGGGCTGCAGTTGTGGGGGGGTGCCAGAGCAACAGCAAACCCCAGAGTCCCCTCTACCCACTGCAGCTTCAGTGACGCTCTGATCCGGTTCTCTCGAGACCACCTGAGGGGAGAAGCCCCTCACTATGTGCCCTACCTACTGGCTGCCTTCAATCACCAGTCGGCACTGAGGTACTAACACTTCTGGATTCCCCACAGGCATGGATGCCACCCACATTAGAACCAACCACTTTGGGCCCCCAAAGGTGGGTTTCCAACCCCAGATCTGCTCATTGCTAGTTGTACCTGGGTACCTGTCACTTTTCTTATTAGTATTACTTGGGTTACAGTAGAATAGTCCGAGACTCATTTGAGATAAAGATGTGAATATCTACCACATTCTTTCAGCAAATATCGATCAAGGCGTTACTCTAGATCAGATAGTGTGTGAAGTTACAGCCATGAACAGGAAAATTTCCCTCTGCTCCTCCTGCTCTGAGACAAGTCCAGGCTGGCCTCAAACTGGTCGCAATCTTCCATCTTCAGCCTCCACCAGGCCTGGCTCTCTTCTTGAGTATTATGCTCTTGGTGGTAGGCACAAGGACAGACAGACATACAAGCTGATGCTTTTTAGCTCCTGCTTGACTAAAATGAGCTCCACTCCCTTACCGATGAGGAAACGAAGTAACAGGAAGGATGACTTAACTCGAGGTTACCTTAGAGGCATACCTCTGGGTATGCCCTTCCTAGCCCTTCAGAATACCCGAGACCGCCATAAGCTCGGAGCCACCCTTCCGGCCCCCCCGCTCCCACCACACACTTTGCACCACAAGGTGGCGCCAGAATGGATGACTCCTTGAGGCCCGTGCGAGCCTTGGCCTTGGTCCTGAAGTCGTACTTTTGGTTGGTTCAGCTCTTCGTTATCTGTCCTGCTACCCGATGGAGAAGCTTCGGGGGTCTTGGCTCCAATAGAGTCCGCGTTGGATGACGTACAGAGGAGGATCTGCCGCCTGGTATTGGAAGCACTGCAGGTTGAGCTCCAGGTGAGGTTTCCATTGCGGTCAGGATGGGCGTGGGAGGGAGGGACACGGTACATGTATGGGGGTCGCTGCGGGATCCGGATCGTTGCTCTAGCCTGTCTCTGCCATGCTTTCCCTAGCCTCTGTTCGCATCTCTACCCTCGCGCCAGTGGCTGTTGAGTTCTGAGTTGTTGGACGGTGTGTGTGAGCAGACGTCGCACTTCTGCCAGGATTTCTGGCGTGTGCGGAAGCCTGCCGTTCAGGTGGAGCAGGGAGAGGGAGGCTGGGGAAGGGGCACGGCCGATGGGAATCTGTACTCAAACTGCTTTGCCTGCCCTGCAGCTGCTGCTGGCGGAGGCGGAACGAACCGTGGTGTTGCAATACCTGCGCGCCCTGATGCAGGGCCGCCTGGTGTGCCGCGGTGCGGACGAGCGGACCCAGGCGGCCGAGCGCCTTCGGCACGATGCTGCCCAGCTCAAGGAGCTTTTCCTGGGTTTGGTGAGAGCTCACTGGGAGGGCAGACGGTCGAGAATCGGGTGGGAGCCGAGGGCGGCTGGAAACCCTGCCCCAATGTCTTCAGGGCCTGGAGGAGAGCGCTCACTGCGCGCCAGTGCTGCTCGCGCTGAGGGAGCTGCTCAACCTCCACGATCCCACGCTGCTTGGCCTCGAGGTGGCAGGCCTGAGGCAAAAATTTCCCGACGTGAGGTGCGTGGAAGGGGACAGGGGAGGGAGGAGGAGCCCGGGACGGCAAGGGCGGGGCTGAGGCGCCACGCGTGGCGGTATTCCTGCAGCGAGGATCATGTCTCCGCCCTCTTGGACCTGCGCGGGGACGTGTCCCGAGAGCATCGCCAGGCAGCACTCAGCTCTCTGCAGGCCGGCCCACCGCCCTCACCTTCTGCTGGCCGCCGTGCCCTCTTCAGCCTCGTACCGACGCCCACGCCCTCGCTGTCCTCCTGCCTCCCCTCGGGTCCCTGCTCCTGAGCCGTCTGTCTGCGTAATAAAGCCACGTCCACCGCGCGTCTGAATCTGTGTTGGGGCACGCGGGGGTTGAAAGCAGCGGTGAAATTAGGGGTCCGTGCACAGTGGCACTCCTAATCCTGGTTGCAATCCTAGTATTCTGACAGCATCTCGCCTGCGCAGACATCTGCTCTCTTTGTGAATTGCGTGCCCCAAACCCTGGGCTCCCGCGGAAGAACTCAGTATCCACGTATCCACCCGCCCGCAATAAGTGTCTCCCCCGCCCTCGCGAGTCGCTTTAGAAGTGGGGAAACTTGTGGAGGGGGAGGGTTAGGACCACATCCCGCCCGGGGGGCGTAGCGTGGCAGTGATCCCGCCCCCTTCGCACTCCTGGCTCCGCCCACAGTGGCTTTAAGCTCGCGCTACCGCGGAGACTGACGTGAGCCTGCGCATGTCCGTGTGAGCGTGCGCGCGCCCGATTGCGTGCGTCTTTGGCGCCGGCTCCCACAGTCTCGGAGGCCAGCGATCGGCTTTGAGGAGCAGGAATTGCGGACAGCAATAGAGGTGCGAACAGGTGGGGGCACGGCACGCGAACCGAACCCGCATCCCACTCCAAAGACCGAGACTAAGCATGCGACCTGACCCCTCCCTCTTCATTTACCAGAGAATTCCCCCACTCCATTGTCTTCTAGCCCCGCCCTCCATTGGGCACGCCCTTCACCCTGTCCCACGCCCTTTATTGGCCTCCAGGGCACGCCCCTCGGATCTCTCGGTTCCCATTGGTTCTTCTCTCACGTCAACCTCTGTCTAGGGGTTCTTATTGGTGTGGGCCACACCCTCTCATTTGTCTCCAGACCCCGCCTTCAGGGTCTCCATCCTCACCTTGCCTTCATTCATTCTGCGTCTAGTGAGTGCTTGGGACGAGAGGGTAGATCAGACCCTCCCTGACCTCGGGGAGTTCAGGGAACGGTGGGGAATATGGACCTAGCCTCCAACCGTGACAGCCTAGGGCTGTCAAGAAGCCATCGAGACCCTGGGACCCTTTACACATCGGGAAGGCTTCTCAGAGAAAGTGAGGCCTAAACCGAGCCCTGAAAAATGGTTAAGAGGTTACTCCAGGGACACATTGGCCAAAGAATTCTTGGCGGAAGAACCTGAGACGTGAAAGAAACAGGTGCATTCTGGTCATTACGAGGAGGTAGGTTGGAACGAACGAAGGGGAAATGGATGAACTGGCCCAGGCAGTAGTCAGTAGGCGTCCAGGAAAGTATGCAGTTTGAGGGCGAGTGAGATCTAAGGCTTGAAATCTTTTTTCACATAGCTGATCACTAGACAAGGTCGGAGGAGGGCTCCGAGGAGGAAGAGCAGGTCTAGATGGGGAATCTAAGCTTGGGGAAGGAATGATTCTGGTTCTTTCTTTCTTTTTTTTTAAGATTTGTTTTTTATATTTATTAATTTATGGCTATGTGCATGTGCCTGTGCAGGCCGGAAGAGGGCGTTGAACCCGCTGCCCCTGGAGTTAGAGGTAGTTGTGAGCTGTCCAACATGGACGCTAGGAACTGTGTTTGGGTCCTCTGAGAGAGCAGCAAGTGCTCTTAATTGTTGTGCCGCCGCTCCAGCCCTGCGACGACGACTCCAGTTCTTAGGAGGACTCGGGCTCACTCCTTTATCGATTACAGTGCTGGATCAGGAACTGTTCTGGGTTTTGGAAACACAGCTGCAGATCCTGGAAAGGAGAAAACAGATAAAGCCACCAGATACAAAGTTCACTGCAGTACACTTTAGATGGCAACAGCTGCTACAGAAAAAAACAGTTCCAGCGGGCGGTGGTGGCGCACGCCTTTAGTCCCAGCACTCGGGAGGCAGAGCCAGGCGGATCTCTGTGAGTTCGAGGCCAGTCTGGGCTGCAGAGCGAGATCCAGGAAAGGAGCAAAGCTACACAGAGAAACCCTGTCTTGAAAAAAAAAAAAAAAGGTTCCAGAAGAGAGAGGAGATGGGCTCTTTTGTTGAGATTTGCTAAAGCTGATTTTCTTTTATTTCTTTTCTCTCTTTTTTAAAGCTTTTGAGACAGGTATTGCTATGTAGCTCAGGCTGGCCTGGAATTCACAGTTCTCCTGTTTCATCCTCAGGAGTGCTGGGATTACAGACATGTATCACTACATCTGATGGAGGGCAGCTTTTCTTCTGTTTTTAAATTTATTTTATTTTATTTTTATTTATTTATTTTTGAATGTGTGAGTGGTTACCTGCATGTATACCTGCATGTCCGCAATTCCTGTATACCTGCGTGTATACCTGCATGCCAGGAGAGGGCATCAGATCCTGTTATAGATGGTTGTGAGTCGACATGTGGTGCTGGGAATTGAACTCAGGTCCTCTGAAAGAGCAGCCAGTGCTCTTAACCGCTGAGCCATCTCTCCAGCCTCTAAATTTTTTTTTATTAAAACATTGTCATGTGGGGCCGTAGTGTCAAATGCTTTGCCTTTAATCCCAGCACTCGGGATGCAGAGGCATGTGGTTCTCCAAGTTTGAGGCCAGCCTGGTCTACATAGTTCCAAGACAGCCAGGGCTACACAAAACAACAAAAACCAAAAAAGAACACCAAAAACATTTTCATGCATTTTGATCATGTTTTTATCCTCCTCCAACTCTTCTCGGACCCTCTCCACTTCCCTACTCACTCAACACGCTGAACTTCTCTCTCTCTCTCTCTCTCTCTCTCTCTCTCTCTCTCTCTCTGTGTGTGTGTGTGTGTGTGTGGGGCATTTTTTTTTTCTAAATTTTTTAGGAAAGTAAGAAAGTGACCCATGCTACTATATGTGGGTGGTACCTTTTTACACAGTGGGCAATTCATTTTAAGGTACCTATTAAATATTAAAGATATCTTGGAAGGTCATGTATGTTGGCTTAACCATGACCCAGGACTAGAGAGGTTGAGACAGGAAGACTGTGAGTTGAAGGTTAGCATGGTCTACATAGGGAGACTCTATCTTAAACAAAATTATATATGTATTGGAAGTCACTATAGTGATCTAAAGTTAATGGAAGGACCAGGGACATAGGCCAGTAGGAGAGGACATACTCAGTGTTTACAAGGCTCTGGGTTTGATCCCCTTCATCAAAGCAAAACCAGAAACCACAAAATTGGATGGGATCATAGGATTCTAGGGTGTGAGTATAAATGGAAGAGAGAAGTTACCATAGACAAGTCTTGGGGTGTTACAGTGTTAAGAGGTTGGGAAGACCAAGAAGAAACAGCCAGGGATGTGGGAGGCAAACTAACTCCTAGTGTATTTGGAAAGGAAAATGGGCGTTATGGTTCCAGGATAAAAGCTATAGATCAATATGATGATCATTAGTGAACTTGATCAGCTCAGTTTAATGGAGAGGAGGACAAATGCATACTCAATGTGAGTGAACTTGGGAGAGAACAGGAAAGAAGTGGGAGATGGTGTGCACGACTCGGGGTATTGTGCTACAACAAAGATCAGCTGGAGGGTGTTGTGTGTGGATTCATGTAGAGGTTTTGTTTTGTTTTTAAGATGGAGGAATAACAGCATTTATTTATGCTGATGGACAGAACCCGGTGGAGAGGAAGCCTGGTGATGTAGGATCAAGGAGGAATGTTGGAGTTGAGTCCCTGACCAGGCAAGGGAGGTCAGAGGCTGGCGTCTCCAGTCAGTGTCTGGGGAGAGACTGGATTGCACTGAGCCCTGGCACAGAGTCAGGGGTGAGTACCTGTGCCTCGGATGACTGCTAGGGAGATACCTCAGATAGGAGACAGGCCAGGGGCTAGTTTGAATGTACTGGTTTTCCTCTGATTCCCAAAAGCAGACTGTAATTCAGTTCTGAATAGATGACCAATGGAAGAGACAGTATTTCCTGTGGGGACTGGCCTGAGCAGGGCATACTCATTCAGACTGATCACAGATGGGCTGGAGGATATAGACAGAGCTAGGTAAAGGGGACAAAATGGGACTGAGAAGATGCCACCTGTACAAAGCAGTCTGTGGGCTTCCCTTACCTATGGTCCATCTAGGGATCTGAGGCTGCATTTTGCCAACTCCCAGACTGGGTAAGTGCTAAGCACTGAGGTTAGAACCATGTTTAGGGCCTTAGTTTTAGCTCTGAGAGGATTTTAGTGAGTAGGAAAATGTATAAAAGTCTTCCTCTCGCTTTGCCTCACCTCAGACTGCTTGGGTAAACCTGGTGGAAGGACTGGACACTGGGGATGGGGGGATCGTTTCTCAGGTTCCTGGCAGCAGACCCTGGATCCAACAAGGATAACGTGGACACAGGGCTTTCTCCTCTGACCACATCCACTCATGCTGGTCTCTGCGTGCCCTTCTGTGTCCCTAGAGGTCAACAGTGTGGGAAGTTGGAACGACCGAGCTGGATGTAACCCTCAGGACAGAATGGTGCTGGATTCAGGGGCTCAGGTGTATGAGCAGGCACCCCCCAGCCCACCTGCTAGCCCCTCATCTCAGCGCCATAGGTTGAAGCCCTCAAACCGAAATGGGCCACCCTTGTACCCCTGGCCTCAGTCCCTGGCTATGCCTTTGGCTCTGGCAGTTCCCTCATCACTACAGTCTCAGCCTATGTGGCAGACCTTCTCAAAGCTGCACTTGGGAAACCGTAGCCACATGCGTCGCAGTGAGAGCACCTACAGTGTAAATAGTACTGGCCAACGGGGGCGAGGCAAAGCGCCACTTGGACGGGGATGTGATCCAGGTGGAGGGACCCTACGGCCTGCGGCCTCCTTACCTCACATTGCTAAGACTCGAAAGTATGTAGGCAATGGTAGCAACAAGAGCCCCTGCATGTTAGTGGCCCTGCGGCCAACCAACATGGACCAGGAACGGGAGAAATTCTTCCAGTCCCATTACACCTACAATCCACAGTTCGAGTACCAGGAACCGATGCCAATGAGTGTGCTGGAGAAGTACCAGGAGGCCTCTGGACAGTTCATCCATCAGGTCAGTCCAGCCTGCCCATTTCACCCTGGCCCTGACTACTCAAGGGACCTAGCCTGACTAGTGACTGTGGCCCTGTGTGCAGGCAGTTGGCATCATTGAGGCTGTCCTGGAGAAGTTTGGCACTTATGAACACTTTGAGGCCGCCACAGGGGGCCAGCTGCTGACCAAGTGCCAAATTTGGTCCATTGTGCGAAAATACATGCAGAAGGAGGGCTGCGTTGGGGAGGTAAGTTTGCCCTTTCTACGGGACCCATATTCTATATGCCCCCAATCAGACCACCTAACTGATAGGCCCGGTTGCACACCTGGCCAGCTGTCATCCCCAAACATATCCCTGCTCCAGCTCCAGTAAGTAAGAGCTGGATTTGAAGGGTGGATGTCCTGACCAGTGTTTAGCCTGGCTGCCTTGTAGCATCAGGAGCCTGGCTGCCCACTACCTTTCAAGGCTTGTGAGCCATGGCTCAGAGCCCTGCCACCTTGCAGGTTGTGGTGCAGCTGAGTGAGGACCTGCTGTCCCAGGCAGTGATGATGGTGGAGAACAGCCGACCCACGCTGGCCATCAACTTGACTGGAGCCCGCCAGTATTGGTTGGAGGGCATGCTGCGGCATGAGATCGGTCAGTCTGTGGGTGGCATTTGTGTGGGTGGGTAGAATCGAAAGGTATTAAGAGATGGGGGCAGGGCAGTGTGGGGCTTTCTCCTCCTTCCTTCCCTCTGGGAGAAAACAGGCCTGTTCGTTCCCAAGCAGATACTCCTTCCTTCTCATTCATAGAAGTAGGTCAGACATGCCTGTCCACCCTCTTTGCTGCCCTTCATTCTTCTTCCTTTGGTTGTCTGTCCAGTTCCTCCGTGAGGGGAAGATTGCAAGGTCCTAACAGGCCAGAAAGAATCTGAGGGTTTCACCAGACCAGCTAACATACAGACCCACCAGGGTGGGTGGCAGGCCAGATCCTAGGAAGGGAATTGCTTGAAGAAAACACACGGATAGAAGTTTAGGAGACCAGGATAGAAAGGCAAGCACAGGACACTAGTCACTGTCCTCATCAGACAAGAATCTTGTTGCTCTGGGCAAGCCGTGATTTTGATTGGGGGCATTTGCGTGACTGTCAAGATGATGGGCCTGGGCACTAGGATGTTGGGGCGGGATGGCCTGCGCTTGGTCTCTAGGAGAGCGGGGGCACAGTATGAACTGGTGTGCAGGAGATGAGAAAATAGGCAGGGAGGGGTCTGCTGGACCAAGAGTCTTCTTGTTGCTGGAGTTGGGTGAGAATGAATTTAGGTAGGGCTTGGGATGACTTGCATGGGGTGAGTTTGGGGGGATGAAGATCTAAGCGTCTCCACTAGAGGTCCTTGGAGTGAGTTCAACCACTCCCTCGTCCTCCCCACAGGCACTCACTACCTGCGTGGTGTGAACAATGCCAGACAACCGTGGCACAGCACTGAAGGCAGATTGCAGTATGGGCTCCGGCCGGCCAACCCCACTGAGGAGGGCCTGGCCAGCCTGCACAGTGTGCTGTTTAGAAAGCAACCCTTCCTGTGGCGGGCGGCCCTGCTCTACTACACCATTCACCAGGCCGCGCGCATGTCCTTCCGCCAGCTCTTCCAGGATCTGGCCCAATATGTGCAGGACGAGGCTGTACGCTGGGAGTACTGTGTCCGGGCCAAGCGAGGACAGACGGATACTTCCCAGCCAGGTGGGAGCTGCCGAGCCAGGGCAATGCCTAAGCTAGTGCAAAGTGAAGGGTGGGGTTAGGTAAGGACTGATTGATTCTCGCTCCCACAGGCTGCTTCAGCAAGGACCAGGTGTACCTGGATGGCATTGTCCGCATCCTGCGGCACCGTCAGACCATCGATTTCCCGCTGCTGACCTCACTGGGCAAGGTAAGGGGCTGCAGGCTCACAGAGGCCTCAGCCGCCTCCTCCTTCCTCCCTGTACCTTTGAGTACGTATTCGATGGAGGCCTGGATACCAGGCCTCTCCGGTGGTAAGAACTTGAGTGGAGGTACGCAGACAAGAAGAAATAAAACTTTGGTATCCCAGATGAGATGTGTGACCCAGCCTGCAGATGTATGCATACATTTCAAAGGAGGTGAGTGTTCCAGGACAAGGGAGCAGTCAGGAAGTTCTGAGGAAGGAGGCTGGAGAAATGGCCATGGACCAAAACCCAAGTCCTGTATTGCGTTGAGGGAAGCAAACCTTCTCAGAAGCAAAGGGGAACTGGAGGGGCTATAATAAAGGTGTGGCACAGCTTTGCTTTAGGAGGCTCCTACTGGATGTCATGTGTACGGAAGAAAGGCAAATGGAGGAGGCCTTCCATCACTCTTACAGAATTGATAATGGTTTGACCTAACCTGGCAGTATCATGGTTGCAAAGAGATAAACTACAGATAGTAGAACTCTGTTTGACTCCCTGAACGGGAAGATGAGAACCCAGCTTCCCTTTCTTGGACCTGACTGAGGTGACGACTGACAGCTGACATTCAGCAGTCTCGTGTTGGATGTGAGAGACACCTGAGAGATACCCAGGTATCAGTCGAATGCCACTTAAGGTGAGGGGATAATCTGGGATGGAGGAGAATGGGTTGTAGAACATAGATGGAAGATGTAGAGAAAAAGAGAACAGACCCAGGGCTGAGCCTGAGGGTACCTATTGTAAGAACAGAGAAATAGAGGTAAGTCTATTGTAGGTCAGGAATAGGAGTCATCACAGGAGCAAATGGCCCTGAGCCATCAGTAGATCTGGGACTAGCTGCTTGAAAGCCAGAGGTTGTGATTAGCCCTGAGGCTTAGTTTTCTCCCTGTAGGTCTCCTATGAAGATGTGGACCAACTGAAGCCCCATGGAATACTAGATAATACCCGAGTGCCCCACTTTATGAAGGACTTGGGACGCTACCGGCAGCAGCTGGAACACATCATGACCACCAACCGACTGGACGAAGCAGAGCTGGGCCGCCTGCTTCCGGACTGATGTTGGCTAAGGATTATAGACAGAAGCTCTTGACAGAGGTCTCAGACCGGAATATGAAGCTCTTTATGGTTCTATAGCCTAGGTGTTTCTTGTGGGGGCGGGGCACTGGGCGACCAGGAGCATCTTGGGAAGATGAGAGGCAACGTCAGAAGGTTTTTGTCCTTGCTAGTCTTCCTGGGGCCTGCGAATTAGCAGCAGCATGTCACATAAACTCCTGAACAGGGGAGACCTGGGGAGAGGAGGGGACCTGAGTGTGAATAGGAATGTGGGTTGATTGGGGAATAGAAACTTGTTCCTGCATGAGATGACTTTTGGTGTCTGGTACCGGCCTTTCCCTTCCCCCACCTGGCCTATTGGTGCTCTTCAGCATTCATACCTACCGTCTACCTCTCACTGGGTCTAGTGGGAGTGGGGATCCCCTCTGAGGTGGCTTGCCTAGGCATAGGGTCCTGGCTTTCAGTCGGGCTCAGAGACCCAGCTGGGCTGGAATCCGCGTTTCAGCATTTTGCTCCTCTCACTGGTCATGTGTTATTCCATGTGTTTGCCTCCATGCCTCCATGCATTATTCATGCCTCCATCGGGGGCTGGGAGGCAGCTGGGCCTGAAAGTTCAGTGGAGGGGACGGGACACTTTGGAAAGGTACCATTTGTTCCTGGTCCCCCTCTTTATCACACCAGACAGACACGCTGGACTTCAGGTCTTGTGAGTCCAGCACCTGGCCCCCACCTTCAGCCCCCACCCTCATCTGGGTTGTGCCTGCCTTTGACCACACCCTCACAGCTGGTCTCTGGCAGTGGTTGGTACAGGCTGGAAGCAACCACAATCAAGCCTGCAGGTCAGGCCTATGGGATTTGTTATCTTAAGTTCTGAGCCCGTCTCGGGCCAGGAGAAGTACAGAGCTGGTGAATGCCTCCATTTTCACGTCTAGATCCCGCTGTGAGGGATTGAGCCAGTACTGTTCCTACCCTGGCCTTTTATTTTCTCATCTGTGAAGCTTGGAATCATAGCTGGGAAGTTCTTATTCACTGACGTAAATAGATATGTACAGAGCTCCTTGTGTATGTCTGTGACTGCTTAGACCCCTCACTGAGCTCCCAGTTCAGGGGAAAGCCAGATAATTAAACAGCAGTTACAATGATGTGTGTGGCTTCTGTCTACTCAAGTTCCCTCTCAGGTCCCCCTTAAAGACTGTGAGCTCCAAGACTTCCCTCATCAAGTGTGGGGTGGGGGATGCCTGTCCCCTTCCCTTTCTCAGTCTACCAAGCCTAGTGATTCCCATGAAGTAGGACTGTTGTCTCCACAGGCTCCCAGCTGGCTCCTGAAATGAAAAAGAGCGTGGTGTGTGTGTGTGTGTGTGGGGGGGGGGGGTCAGGTCCCATTGGGGCCTGGATCTGAGACCTCCAGACACATAGTTTGGGCTATTTTGGGGGTGGAATGAGGTTGTGGGGGTGGGGTGTTTCACACAAGCCTGCTCAGGTCAGTGGGATTCAAACCCTCAGTTCCTGAGCAAAGAGCCAGAGTTGTGGAGAGTCAGGTCCAGGCTAACCCTCCCAAATTTATTCATTTTGCAGTAAATGGAGTCTTGGTGCATTGGGTCAAGCTCTGGCAGGTTCCCAGGTCTTATCCAGCTTGGATAGGATTTGTACAGGTCAGGATTCTGGCCTTCAGGAATCTAGAGACGAAGAGGACGATGGTCAGTGGAATGGGTACCAGCCCTCATTACAACCTCTAACAAGCCTATAAGCAAGGGTTTAGGTACAACCTTCAGACTCATCTTCTTGGAAGTCAGGCTCTGGCTCCGGCTCCGGCTCCGGCTCCGGCTCTTGTTCTAGTTCAGGCTCTGGTTCCGGTTCCGGTTCCGTTTGTTGTTCCAGGTCTGGTTCATCCCCTTCTGAGGCTTCTGCTTCTAGTTCTGGCTCCTCTGGAGTTCCAGATTGCACTGCCTCAGAGCCCTCAGGGCCTCCAACCTCCTCTTGCTCTGAAGCTCTGGGCAGCCCAGGACATGTGGTCCCTGAACTGGGTGCCTCAGGCGTCCAGTGGCCTGAGCATGGAGGGTCATAGCTGCGGTCCCGGTAGCCTGGGGAGGAAGTGGAATACTTGAGGCTCAATTCACCCCTCTGTGGTTAGTTACCTCCACATTCTCTGCCCTCCACTTACCATTAGTTTTGCCTCACCTCAAGCCACGCCCCCAATCTCAACAAGGCTCCACCCTCCTGGTGCTCACCAGGCCCCACGTGCTGCCAATCCCAGGCGGGGTCTGGCGCACGCACAGTGTGCTGGGCACAGCGCAGTAGCTCCTGGCAGGCAGCCTCGCCCTTGCTCTGCACCAACAGCAGCAGGCGGCGCACCCTGCGCTCCGCATCAGGCAGCGCATCCAAGGCTTCATACTCAGGCCCGGTGAGCACGCCCCGGGCCACCAGCGCGTCCAGCAGCAGCCCAGAGTCAGCCTGCAGCGTATCTACCAGCCGTTTCCGTTCCCGGTCAATGGTCTCCGATGGCCGCTCCTGCACGTTGCCCATGTTTGGGCTATATCAAAGAGGAGAGAAATGGGGGGGAGGGGCGGCTGGCGTTTCCACACACTGACCTCTCCCAGGAGTGATCTAAGTTCACCTCCGCATCAGAGTCTGGATGGTTCTTCAGCGGAAGACCTGGAGGCCAGGGCACAGAACTCACCCTCCAGCTTCTTAGCTGCTTCTGTCCTGACTCCTCAGGTTCCTGTTCTAGTCTCTACCTGTCAGCTGATTGCTGCTCACTGCAGCTAGGACGTCCCTCCTAAGCCCCAGCCACCTGCCGAGCTGGCCACCAGTTGAGACCCAGTTAATCCAACTGGATTATTTTTTCTAAACCCAATTCCTTACCTAAACTGACAGAAAACCCTAGGATTGGTTCATACCCCCTCTCTGAACCCCAGCAGCAAATCCTGGATCAGGGCAGCCTGCCTGATCTCTCATACAATCTGGTCTGCATCCGAAGCCTAAAGTGTGGAGGCATGCACGCTCCATTCACCTAACCCCGAGGGGAAGGCATTCCAGAACCTTGCCCTTCACTCATCACCACACTGCAATGTCAACATGGTCTGTGGCTCTTCTGGGTCCTTACTAAGCAGGAGAACTGAGTTCTCTTGAATTTTGACAGACCTCCTGGCATCTAGGACCCACTTGTTTCCCTGATGGCCTGGCAGTGACTCACAGTCATCTCTTACTTGACCTTGAAACACCCAAGACCCAGCTCTTAAAAACCGTTAAGGAATGCTTACCAAATTTTTAGTTTCCTCTCTGTGGATTATCCCCATTTTGAGAGGCTGCCTCTACCGAACTGGGTGCAAATTAATCTACTCTGCTCATCTCTCTTATCAACTGGGGACTACTGCTCACTTGGGTTGGGTGGCCTGACCCAGCCAGCAAGGACCCTGGCATTAAGGAAAAAGGAAACCTGGCCGTTCCTTTTGCCTCAGCTTTGTCCATACAGCATCCTTCTAGGTCTCTTCTGCCCTAAATGCCCCTGTTCTACCTTCTTTCCTAGGTCATTGGATCACACACACACACACACACACACATACCATGCCTCCCAGCTCTCAGGACTCTCTCACTGTACTGTCCCTGGTCACTTCACGCCTCATATCTAAGTGTCAGCCCTCCCCAGGGCCACTAAGCACAGACCAGGGACATTTCTTCCCACTGTCTCCCCTCTTCACACCCTCTCTGTGCCAGAGGCCCTATAGTCACTCTGCATCAGCTTCTGCCCTTAAGCCCACCATCAGCACTTTGCCTCCTGGAACAATGAGTGCCTCAGAGTACCTCACCCATTCCCACACCTCCCCTCCCTCCCCTCCCCTCCCCCAACACAGTGACTTTGACAACTCTGGGCTAGCATTTATTGTTCCAGTTCTGTGGGTGAAGAGACAGGCTCAGAGAACCCCAGGAAAACTGGAATCTGACTTGGCCTGCCTTAAACTATAATGCCTCTTGCCTGGTTGAATGCCAGGCCTAACCTCCGTCCCCACTACCCATCAAAGAGTCTAAGCTACCTGGTTTGGCTATTTTAATTCCCTCCCACCACCCTGGTCAGCTAGGCTCTTTGCCATTTCCATCCATCATTCAGTCCTGCAAGAACTAACTATGCTCCTGGCACTTCAGCTTTTGTGGATGCTGTTGCCTGGGAGTCTCCTCTCTCCCCTCTACTCAATGGATCTAGCCCTCAAGACAAATGCTCCCATGTCTACCCCAATTCTTGGGAATTCAAAGGTAGCTAGCTCCTTTTGTGTGCCATGGTCCTCATTACTGTGTTTTCAGGGATCACTAAACTCTGTGTTCAGGACCTCTGCTCCCCTCAATGAGGCTTCCAAAGACTGTCTCCCATCACTGGTTACAAGGAAGGGGGTGACGCCTGCACCCATTCTGGCCAGACTTGGAGGCTGTATTGGCCTTCTCTTTCTCCCTCCCTGTACCCCAAGTTATTTTTATGTTAGCTGGCTCCCCAGTAACTTAAGTATTACCTTTAGTCTTGTCTGGGAAGCAGAGACCTTAGCTGTTTTAGACCCCAGCTGATCTATCTATCTCTATCTATCTATCTATCTATCTATCTATCTATATCTATCTATCATCTATCTATCTATATCATCTATCTATCTCTATCTATCTATCTATCTATCATCTATCTATCTATCATCTATATCTATCATCTATCTGTCACCTATCTATGTATCTATCTATGTATCTATCTATCTATCATCTATCTTTTTTTCGAGACAAGCTTTCACTATTCGTAGCCCTGGCTGTCCTGGAACTGGCTCTGTAGACCAAGTTGGCCTGGAACTCAGAGATCCGCCTGCCTCTACCTCCCAAGTGTTGGCATTAAAGGCCACCACCACCCAGGCTAGACCCTAGCTGATTTGGGGCCTTCCTTTGAGGTTAGCACAGTTCTAAGGTGAGCTGGTTATGCCCTGGCCAGTGCATCAAAGGGCAAGCCTAAATGTTATTTTGAGCCCCAGGTGACCTGGTTTGGTCTGGGACCCCCAGCTTGCTGGCTGGCTGGGGTTTGTTGGGAAACTAGGTAGAACCTGCAGGAGCCGGTCGCGCATGCGCAACCGCGAGGGTCCCCCTTACCAGCCCTCTACTCAGTCCCAAAGCTTCAGACCTGCGGGAGGGCGGGGCCCACAGACCTTGGAGCTCCGCTGCTGGTGGTGCGGCACGGTATTCTGCCCAATCTGTTTCCTTTCCCTCCCAGCTGGGTGGAGTCCCGCTTGTGGTCCGGAGCGTTTCGGACAGCCCCACTCCAGAGTTGAGCTTCACCGGGGCAGATGACAGTGCAGAAAGGGCCGAGCAAGCGGGGTGGGGACGCGAACAGCAGCTGCCAAGGGGGCGGGGCGGCCAGGGCTGCCGGGAATGGGCGGGGGGAGGGGCACGCTTCTCTGGCTCTGCGAACTCGGACGCTGGACGCGGAGGCCACGCGCTGACCGGGGAGGACACATAGTCGGTTTTCCTCCCCCGCCCCAGAGCACCCGGGTTTGAGTCAGGGGGTCAGTTCAGCTCACAGCCCCACGTGTCCAGCCCACTCCGGGCCTTCTGATTGCTAGGTGCTTTTAATTTGTCCTACGATTCCTCCCTCTGCCTGTCACAGATAAGTTTAGAGAAGGGAACTGACTTGCCCAGAGTCAGAGACACGTGTATGGAGGAGCTGGATGTGGCGCAGAAACGCCTGCTTCTCGGAGGTTACAGTGGCCGGCATCTCATTGCCAGTGGGAGAGCTGGGCACTGACTCTCCAGGTACCACCATTCTCCAGGTAGGGGCTTCCATGAAAGTCCAAGCGTCTGGACGTTTCTAAGTCCAAGCATCCGGACACTTATATGAACGCAAAGTCGTCGCCCACCCATGACTCTAGTGATCTTTGTTTGATAGAAAAAAAAGGAGAGACCAGAAACAGAGTTTGGGGAATGCAGTTTATGTTGCAGGACTCGCTAGGGTAGTGGAGAGAGGCTGCGCATAACGGGGGCTTCGTTCACCTCCCCCCAGGGGACGCCAGGAAGCCTAAGGGGGTGTGTGCTGCGTGCCGGTTCCTTAGCCAGGCTTTTTCAGAGGGGTGAGGGCTTCAGGGGGAGGAAGGACTGGCTCCAGGGTCTAAGTAGGAGGCACTGCTTTCAGGGGTATTGTAAAGGGTTAAAGCCCCAGGCACGGACAAGGCTGTACCCTCCAAATCTGCGGGAACGTCCAGCAGGAGTGGGGTTCCCAGCGTGTGGTCTTTCCCTAGGAGGAGTAGGCGGTGCTTAGGAGAGCCCTCCTGCAGTTAGGATGTAACATTACACGCACACGCACACGCACACGCACACCCACCCTTGAAAGCCAGGGTCTTGCTGCATAGCCCAGGCTGGCCTTGAGCTCATCTTCCTGCCTCAGACCCCCAAGTGCTGGCATTACAAGCATGCACTACCATATCTAGCTTAAAACATCATTCCTGCTGGGATGTGGTGGAGGAGGCAGAGCCAGGCGGATCTCTCTGAGTTCAAGGCCAGCCTGGTCTACAGAGTGAGATCCAGGACAGACACTAAAACTACACAGAGAAACCCTGTCTCGAAAATAAATAAATAAATAAATAAATAAATAAATAAATAAATAAATAAATAAATAAATAAATAATAAAAGAAAAGAAAAAAGAAAAAATATATCATTCCTGACCTTACTCCTCTCACACAATGATGATAGTATGGGTGACTCCAGAAGACTCTACAGGGCAGCCTGAATTCAGGGTCATCCCTTCCCAACCTAAGCTGCCCAGCCCACCCGATCATGGTAATTCAGATCGTGGTGGTTTCTGTCCTGGAGTCCCCACCACCATTACCTACACCTGAAGAATTCAGCTCCTTGACTGTCAGCTCAGCCTCACCCCTCTCTTGAGCCAAGGGCTGCATCTGTATGGGAGAACCCCAGGAAGCAGCTCAGAGGGGAGCCCAGGAGGTGAGGAAGAGAGCTGGGGACCCCCCCCGGGGGGGGGCAATTCTTCAGCCATGAGCCAAACCAACCTTCAGCCACGCCTTTCTTACCAGAGACAAGTCCATGTCCAAGTCCATCAGGGTCCATTCTCGTCCTTGCAGGTTAGGGCCCAGCACCTGGGAAGAGCTCGGGTAAGTGGTGCCCTCACAGGCTGCACAGACAGCCCAACTGCCTGTGTCTCGTGCCCTGCTCCAGGCGAAGAGATACTCACATCCGTGGGTGCTATGGACTCCACGGTTTCAGGGGGAGGCCGAAACAGCATTGGGGGCAGCAAACTCTCGGGGCTCCGGTTACCCCGCTCCAGGCCCAGAGTCCCCCTGTGCACAAAGAACACTATTGGTCTATAATACCCACCTCCTGGTTGCTCCTATGGAACTTGCACCAACAACTAGAACATGCTAAGAGACAATACTTTCTTTCAATCCCCTCCCTAAAAAAGATTTCCCCCCTTTTAAATTTTGTGGGAGTGAGACATCCTCTTGTTATGTAGCCCTGGCTGGCCTCAAACTTACAGCAATCCTCTTGCCTCAACCTCCCGGGTGCTAAAGGGGTGTCTTTGCTGTTGTTTGAGAAAGGGTCTCGTGTCGCTTAGGCCGTCCATGAACTTTGACTAGCTAAGTATGACCTTGAACTCCTGACCCTTCTGCCACCACCTCCTCCGTAGTGCGGGCATTACAACAGCGGGAGGGGGGGGGGGGGGGGGGGGGGAGGGTATGTCACCATGCCCAGCTTCTAATAGGTCACCTTGATTTGCTTTTGCTTCCTACCTAAGACCCGGGGTCTTGGGAGAGGTCCTCTTCCTATATAAGTGTAAATACAAGTAAAGGTTTTCTATTTGGTTTTTGTTGTGGATGCACGGGTGTTCCAGTCTTGGAGTTAGAATTTAGGTCTTGAGCATGTTAGGCATGTACTCCACCACTAAGCTATGTCTCCAGCCCAGCCACCCTTTCCCTTTTATTTCTATTTTTGATTTATTTGTGATTTTTGGAAACAGGGTTTCTCTGTGTAACAGCTCTGGCTGTCCTGGAACTCAATTTGTAGACCAGGCTGGCCTCGAACTCACAGAGATCTGCCTGCCTCTGCCTCTTGAGTGCTGGGATTAAAGGTGTGCACCACCACCACCTGGCAGATTTATTTTATTTATTATTATTGTGTGTATTATGTGTCTTGGGGGTGGGGCATGTGTAGAGGTCAGAGGGGACAGTTTGTGGAGTGATTCTCTCCTTCCACTTTACATGGGTTTTTTTGGGTTGAACTCAGGTCAAGGGGCTTTTGTGGCAAGTGCTCCACCTGCCGAGCCATCCTGCCAGATCTTTCTTTTATATTTAGACAGAGTCTCACTAAGTCACCAACATTGGTCTTGAGTTCCCACTGTAGCCCAGGCAGACCTTGAACTTATGATACTCCTGCCTCAGTTTCCCAAGTAGTTGGGTTGACACCCCTGTGCCACTAAGACCAGCTACCATTGATTGTTAAGCTCCTGTGAATTATAATCATCCTAGTGAACTAATTTCAGGGTGCTTAGTGACTTGATGGGGGAGTTTTCATTTTCTAAATAATTTTGATGCTCTTTGGAGCGTACTCTGAGAAATCAGGTCAGGGTCATGAGAGTCTGATGCCCAGTGCCCTCCCTTAGCTACCACAGGACAGACAAAGCAGACTCTTCTTGGGCCAGTACATGTGGCTCTATCTCTAACGCATCAACAGTGGCTCTGCTCACCTGTCAGGTACCTCCCTGGGGCCCCTTGGTTCAGGCTGTTGTTGCACACTCCTGGGCCCCTCAGGGCTGTAGCTCCCTTTCCCTTCCAGGATGGCCTGCACCACAGCCACAGGCAGCGGTGGGGGCGCTGTCACGCAGAAGTCACACTCGTTTGGGGCCAGGGCCAGCCCGGCCTCGCCATCCCCCCCTGGACTGGCCGGCTCTTCTTTGAGCGGCGCCAGACCCTTCACCCTGCACCAGAGAAAAGCTTCAACCAGACCCTGACACCGACCTCTTCCCACCCCCACAGGCTTCTGGGCTCTGGGCTCTTTCCCATAGGGTCCCCAGAAGGCAGCCCCGTCCTCCTTACCTCCTGCCACCAAGGGAGGGAGAAAGCCTGTGTCCTTCAGGAGACGGAGCGTCTTCTGGGATGTCAGAGATGATGGGCCCTCTGGCCCTGTGAGGGCTGAGGCCCAAGGTACTCTCTGGAAGGGGCTGCAAGAAGAAGGCTTGGCCCAGCCCTTGGCCTCTAGCTGTAGAAACAGCCCAACCAGCCCCCACCTGAACCAGGACTGAGGGTCAGGGTTTGAAAAGGAATCTATCTATGCTGGGGAGCCTAGGTCTGGTTGGTAGAATGGTGGCGTCCATCTTTTAGGGGGGAAATGGGGAGAAGAAGCAGGCTCCTCACAATCCTCCCTATGCCCTAGGAAGAGGAGGAGGAGGAAACACCACCTACCGACTGGATAAAGTAGGGGTCCTGGAAGAGGGCACCAGATAGGGGGCAGGCATTGAATCTGGCAGGTGCTGGGCATGAGCTCCCCTCGTCTAGCATCAGAGACCTGTGCAGGGTGGGCAGGTTAGGCCTCCATGCCCCTCAGCCTGCACCTCCCTCCCCCCTCTCTCCCTCCCTCAGGCCCCAGCAGCCAAGTCAGCAGAGCTGAGGCCTGTTTCCAGGGCATCAGTCACATGCTGGAATGGAAGGGGCTCCCTGAGAGATGGGGGCCCTTTGGGGGTTGAGAGGGGAGGGAGAGAGCTTAGTTTGAGCCCCAAGCTGGGGGTGCCTACTTTGAGCATAGGAATTTGAGGGTAATTACAGTCCTGGAATGGAAGAGAGGGGAGGGGGGTGTGAAGTGGAGGTGATGAATGGTGGAGTTGGGGGTAAGCGGTAGGGGGAGTCCCGGATGGAGGGAGGAATAAAGATTCCTGGCGAAGTCTCTGGAGGGGGTCCCTGACAGGGGAGGGACTCCTGGCGGTGGGGATGTGGGTGTGAGCACTACAGGCTTTGGGACTCACAGCTTTCTCTTGGTTCCTGTACTGCTGGGACCTGTCTGAAGCGGCCCAAACAGGCACTGGATTAGCTGAAAAGAAAGGGTTAATTCATACTTCAGGCTGGGCCCCTCATCTTAGAAAGGCGATTTCTGGCGGGTCTGAGGGACAGGGTGCCCAGGAGTGGGAAGGAGGAGGTAGGGGTAGGTGAACACCTTGCCGATGACCCAGGACTGGGGAGGAGGAGGAGGTAGGGGTAGGTGAACACCTTGCCGATGACCCGGTGCTGCTGGCTGTGGCTCTGCCGCAAGGTCACCACCTCTCGCCACAAGATCTCATTCTGCCTGGGGGGAAGGGGTGGGGAGATGCTGAGGCGCCCGAGTTTGCTCAGGCACCCCAAGCCCCCACAAAGTGGAGAGGTCACTAGCAGTAGGGACCTGTATCCTACGAGGCTAAAGTTCCAGAGCCGAACGCATGGTCTGGATGGAGGCTCTAGCCTAAGAGTGGAAGGAGCTGCCCAGAGCCCCGCGGTGGCCGGGATTCTATCACCCATAACTCCACCCTTCCTTCCCTGTCCCGCACTGCCTGAGTTCCTGCAGCCGTGCCTCGGTGCTCTCTTGTACTCCCCTCAAAGCTTGCACCTCTCCCAGCAGTCGGCCCAGGTCTTCAGGACGCCATCGGCTGTCATCACCTCGCAGGGCAGGTACCTGTAGGCAGGAGGCATCATCCAGGACAGGGTCACATAAAACCGAGCCAGAAGTACCGACACTGGTGTTTTCCCATTTTTTTTTTTTTTTT